TCGTGTTCCTCTTGATGCAGGTGCGCAGCGGCTTCCTCCACCGAAGGTCCGCTATGGCAGACTATCTCCTCCAGCGGCCACCTCAGCTATGGCGCCTCAGCCTGCACACAACGGCACGCGCGGAACAGCGGGTACCAGCTCCGATACCAGTGCAATCAGACTCGACTTATTCACTCTTTTCATGCACGTGAACAACAACATACAACTGGCGACATGCGCCCACACAGTACACAGAGATATGTCTTCCAGGTAAGTTCGCTTCCACTGCATCCTGGGAGCCAGGATCAAAGGCCTATTAGATTGTGGGGCTACGAGGAACTTCATCTTTCCCAAAGTTGTCAGCAAGCTGCATCTGGATGAGAGATTGGTGAAGTTGCAGCAGCCACTGGAAGTCCGTATTGGGGACTCCTCCACAGTCCGGATTACCTCTGCTGTCAAGAACCTATCGGTTATTTTTGACAGGCAGGAGAAGGTCAGGCAGCGCCTGAACTTCTACGTGTTTCCTAACGTGCCCTTTGATCTTGTGTGCTCCATGCAGTGGCTGGAGGCCACTAACCCTAGGATCGACTGGCAGATCCCTAGGGTAGAGCTCCCTGACTGTAGAGGGGACTATCAGCCTTGTGTCCTAGCTGATGAGTACCACCCAGTCAGCAGTTGCTATTGTATGAGGGCACACGAGTTCTTTCAGCTCTCTCGCCAGACTGCCCACACACGTCTGTTTGTTGCATATGTGAAACAGACTTGTGTGGATGTTGCTCCTTGTCCCTCACCGATTCAACAGGTTTTGGACCGGTATCCAGACCTGATGCAGGAGCCTACTGGACTTGTCCATAGGCAGACCGAGCATAGGATTGAGCTCTTGCCGGGTGCGGTCCCTCCCAAGGGCCGTATCTACAAGATGTCACCTGCTGAACTCGATGAGCTCAGGAGACAACTTGAGACCCTGACCAGCAAGGGCTGGATCAGACCTAGCACATCTGAATTTGGGGCTCCAGTTCTCTTTGTCCCAAAGGGGAATGGAGAATTCATGATGTGTGTGGACTACAGGGGTCTCAACAAAATCACTAGGAAGTCTACAGAGGCCCTTCCTAGGATTGATGATCTGCTGGACATGGTGCAGGGTTGCACAATTTTCAGCAAGATAGATCTCAAATCTGGCTACCACCAGATTGAGATGGATGAAGGCGATGTCCACAAGACTGCCTTCAAGACCAGGTACGACACCTATGAGTACCTGGTCATGCCTTTCAGTCTTTGCAATGCCCCTGGCACATTCCAAAGAGATGCATCGCATACTCAGGCCTTACCTGGACAGGTTTGTAGTTGTATACCCTGATGATATCCTGGTATTCAGTCGATCTGTCGAGGAGCATGTGCAGCATCTGGCTCTAGTTCTCCAGGCACTACACGAGGCCCAGTATAAGATCAACAGGGAAAAGTCCTCCTTTGGAGTGACTTCTGTGACTTATCTGGGACATGTAATCTCTGGGGAAGGGCTGGCTCCTAAAGCAACAAAGGTTGCTGCCATTCAGGACTGGCCACAACCTACCACAGTATGTGATGTCCGATCATTCCTGGGTCTTGCATCTTATTACAAGAAGTTCGTCAAGAACTTCTCTGCTATTGCTGCACCCCTGACTGACCTTACAAAGAAAGACACCCACTTTCTTTGGACATCAGACTGTCAGTAGGCTTTTACACGCCTCAAGGAGGCCTTGATGCGTGCACCTGTTCTGAAGTTATCTAACCCTACCCTGCCCTTCGTACTAACTACTGATGCTAGCCAGTATGGGGTTGGGGCGGTACTTCAGCAGGATGGCGGGCATGGTCTGCAGCCAGTCGAGTACATGAGTAAGAATATCAAAGTCAAGAAGCTGCAGGATTCTACGTACGAGAAAGAGTTATATGCTCTAGTGCCAGCGCTAAAGCATTGGAAACATTTCCTCATGGGCAGGCACTTCCAGATCTATTCAGATCACTCCACCTTACAGTGGATGAAGACCCAAGGGGAACTGAATGACAAACTTGCGCGATGTATTCAGTTCATTGATTTGTTTGACCTTGAACTGAAACATAAGAAGGGCTGCTACAATCGTGTAGCAGACGCCCTTTCTCGTAGGCCTGACACTCTCTGCATGATCTCCTCTACGCATACTTTTGGGGAGAGCACCCGTCAGACCATCACCCAGTTATTGCCACAGGACCTGATTTTTGGCCCGATTGTCAGGAATCTGCAGACTGATCCTGCCTCTGAACCAGGATACATTCTGGTTTCAGATCTGCTGTACACTTGCAGCAGAGGAGAGGAGCACATGTGCATCCCTCAGGACCGCCATCTGAGAACACTCATTATGTTTGAATGTCATGATGCTCGCGGCCACTTTGGGGCCTTAAAATCGTTGGCAGCCCTGTCACAACGGTTCTTCTGGCCAGAGATGAGGAAAGACGTACTGCACTATGTTGAGACCTGTGAGTTGTGCCAAAGGAACAAGGTCGTTCGCCGACCTCCCCTTGGCCTGTTGCAGCCACTTCCCATCCCTGATGCACCAACACAGTCAGTGGCTATGGATTTCACTTACCTGGGGAGGACTACTCCTTGCGGTATGCGTCAGGTCATGGTGTGTGTGGACGGGTTCTCCAAGTACGCAACGTTTATTCCTTTGCCAAAGGAAGCCAGAGTCCCGACCGTGCAGGCGGCCTTTGCTGACAGGTGGGTTACTCACCATGGACCACCCACCTCTATTGTCAGTGATAGAGATCCGCGATTCTGCAGCAATGAATGGCAGTCCTATTGCATGGACGGCCTTCGTTCCAGACTGGATATGACATCTGGTCGTCATCCTGAAGCCAATGGGCAGGCTGAAGTGATGAACCAGATTCTTTTCCAATTGCTGCGTCCTGTGATCAGCCCTGATCAGCAGGATTGGGATCTCCATCTAGGACGGGCACAGCTAGTGTACAACACGTCTGTACAGTCCTCCACAGGGTTCACCCCTTATTGATTGCACTGGGGTCGTGAGCCACGGCAGCCTCTCGATGACATCATCGATAAGGCTACCCCCAGACTGACTCCTGGGACTGCAGAGTTCACCAGACAGTACCAGAGAGATATCGAACGAGCCAGAGTTAACCTGCTTAAAGCCCCAAAGGCTATGATCCAGCAGGCTAACAAGCATCGTCGACCATCCCCCATCCGCGCTGGTGACTGGGTCTGGGCACTCAGTTTTGAGCTATCGCGGGAGGAGAACATTTCGGCCAAGCTGTTGCCGCGTTATATGGGTCCATGGCAGGTTTTAGACACGGTGGGGGCTGACCCTTTCGGGCCATCTTATCACGTGGATGTCCCACTGCATCTACAAACCTACCCTGTCTTTCATGCATCGAAGTTGTTGTCGTTTGCTCCAGCTGATGCATTCCCAGACAGGCCTCCTCAATTTGGTCCCCTGATCCTTGGGAAGGGATATGAGGTGGAGAAAGTTGAGGATGAGTATGCTACAGGCCCGGGGTCGATGGCACTGGGGTCGTGAGCCACGACAGCCTCTCGATGACATCATCGATAAGGCTACCCCCAGACTGACTCCTGGGACTGCAGAGTTCACCAGACAGTACCAGAGAGATATCGAACGAGCTTGAGTTAACCTGCTTAAAGCCCAAAAGGCTATGATCCAGCAGGCTAACAAGCATCGTCGACCATCCCCCATCCGCGTTGGTGACTGCGTCTGGGTACTCGGTTCTGAGCTATCGCGGGAGGAGGACATTTTGCCCAAACTGTTGCCGCGTTATATGGGTCCATGGCAGGTTTTAGACACGGTGGGGGCTGACCCTTTCGGGCCATCTTATCACGTGGATGTCCCCTGCATCTACAAACCTACCCTGTCTTTCATGCATCGAAGTTGTTGCCGTTTGCTCCAGCTGATGCATTCCCAGACAGGCCTCCTCAATTTGGTCCCCTGATCCCTGGGAAGGGATACGAGGTGGAGAAAGTTGAGGATGAGTATGGTACAGGCCCGGATAAGGAGTACCTTGTGAAGTTTCTCTACCATCCCCATACCGAGGATCGCTGGTTTACTCGCAAGGAGCTTCTGAAAACAGCAAAGTCTGTTATCCTCAAATACGAGGCTGTGCAGAAGGGAGAACCCCTTCGACGCTCTCCACGCCTACGCCCCTACCTTGGAGGTCCTCGCTCCGGGGGAGGGTAGGTTTACAATGACTTGCTGGTTCCACGTTGCCTGTAGCCTCATTCTGACGAGGCTGTACCATAATCAAGGATAGATTCGTAATTTTGTTTGGCTGAGGACTAACCGAGAGACCTGCCTGTATGGAAAATTCGTGAGGGACATACTTGTAAATATAGAAATATGGGCCCAGTACTAACTCGATTTTCCTACAACTACCCTAACTGCGAATAGCAGACTCGGGCTTCCCCTAGGACAGACAGGCCCTATGGGCCTATGCTGATAAACGGTCCTATAGCCTATAGCCGGGTAGGGAGAGGCCCTGGAGGCCGAAACAGAAACGGTACCGGTCGGTCAGTCAGTCCGGTCTAGGTCGGTCTAGGCTAGTGGTAAAGTATAAGATAGGATGGGGACATCAATCCTGGGCTTTTGGCAGTTGACACTTCGTGGTGGAAGTTGCTGCGCACACAGTATCAGGCCGTGGTTACTAATTCCGGTGGTGGAGACGGCGGACATAGCCAGACCTTCGGAGCGCTGACCAGACTGGGGTCAACGCTGTTCGCTCTGACTCTCTGGGAGTCAAGGCGGTCTAGGCTATCAGAGGTCTGATGCGTCGGAGCACGTGGTGCACTGCTGACCCTCCTCAGGAGTAGGGTCCCAGTGGCGATGCAGCCATAGCTGCATCTTCTCAGAGGATATCATCGTCTGGACTTCATCTTCATCAGGGACTGTTGGCGCTGGGCTTCTTCTTCATCATCTGGGTGGCGATTGGCTCTGGGAGCCTGTTTCATCTTGGCGCAGGCCACTGAGTTGGATGTCAGGGTGGCGCTAGGTGTTACCTGGGGTTTCGGTGCTATTTTTAGCTGTTCCGGGTGGTGGGGTTGAAGCGCTACCCCTCTGAGGGTAGCGCAACAGGGTTCTGGGGATATTCAGTGTAAACGATGCTCTGTGTTTAATAAACAGTTGTATTACTGTGTTTGAGTTGTCATCTCTTCATTGATTTTTGGCTGTGATCACTCGGTTGTCTTCTATGAATGATTGTTGGGACTTTTGTGGAGAGAATTCACGGAATTGTGTATTCTGTCACTTCGCTTCTCTAAGCCTTCCGCTGCGTTTTCTTTTCTGAGCGGTGTGACCCTCCACTACCTCTCCCCTTCCTTCTTTGCATGTATGGGCGTGTACGGGAGTTCCTGTGAGTGAGTGTTGATAAACTTTCAACAGACAATCATGTTCCTGAGAGAGAGAGAGAGAGAGAGAGAGAGAGAGAGAGAGAGAGAGAGAGAGAGAGAGAGAGAGAGAGAATACTGTACAGAGTTTTAAGTGCAAGTTCATTGTTGATTCTGAGTTGATGAGTTTGGTTTTGCCATGTGTTCGTGTGTATGCATGTTGTGAGCAAGTCTGAAGTCGAGTCTGATTGCATTGGTATCGGAGCTGGCACCCGTTGTCCACGTTGAGCTGCAGCAAGCGAGGAAGGAGAAAGCTGCCATAGCCAGACTACGACACGAGAGAGAGAGAAGAGAGCGAGAGCGAGAGAGAGAGAGAGAGAGAGAGAGAGAGAGAGAGAGAGAGAGAGAGAGAGAGAGAGAGAGAGAGAGAGAGAGAGAGATGGGGGACGGCAGCCGTAGCTGCCAAGCTCGGGGAAGAAGACACCATCAAGAAAGGAGGAAGAAGAGACGCAGAGAGAAAGAAGAGGAAAGTTGGCGAAGCGGGAGGCAAAGTCGGCCATAGCCAAGGTGAAGAAGACGACGAGAGTGGCGAAGAAGAAGAAGGTCCACCATAGCCGGAAGGTTGAGGGTTGACCAGAGGAGTTGACCAACATTGACCAGGTGTTGACCAACGTTGACCGAGAGTTGACCAAGGGAGTTGACTAGGCATTGACCAGAGTTGACCGGGGCGTTGACCAGGAGCGTTGACCGGCGGAGCGTCGACCCAGTTGGAGCGAGAAGATGAGCAGTATTTTCTTACTAAGCCTTGGCCTATGCCTTACCCTATGTGTGTGCACCTTCACCTTGGTACTCGCTGACGTCGAGTCAGTCAGAGTCAGTTAGTTATATCCCCCTGTCACTTTTGTCCAGGTCGATAGGACTCTGTGGATGCGGTTGTAGAGTTGTGAGTACAACCAGAGTAGTGAGTAGAAGTCGACTCTGTGGGTGTGGTTGTAGAGTTGTGAGTCCAACCAGAGTAGTGAGTAGAAGTCCCCTAGATACGAGATAACCTGGTGGGTTTACGTGTTGAGGCGAGGAATCATTGTTGATTGTGCACTTTCACCATGGTGACCCTCAGGTCTGGAACTAGTACCACCCCGTATAGCAAGGAGCAAGAAGAGAGAGTTGCTGCCCTTCTGAGAGAGAAGAAGGAGAGGATGGAGAAGAGGGAATTGATCAAGCAAGACAAGATGTTGGCCCTGCTAGAAGAGCAGGAAGCGAAGAAAAAACAAATGGAGGAAGAGCTGCAGAAGTGGACGAAGGAGCAGGAGGAGAAGATGACAACTATCCAGGCGGAGGTGGAGAAGGAAGAAGAAGCAGAAGAAGAGGTAGAAGAAGAAGTGCCATTGGAGAGAAGAAGAGGTGAAGCCAGCACGAGTAAGGAGGACAAAATTGAGAAGATAACACAGGAATGGGCTGCACATTTGGATTTGGGGGAGGGTAGGGAGGCAGAGCTAGCCATACCCCAAGAAGAGAGAAGCGGCAAGGAGGGAGTTGGAAGTAGAACGAGACCCTGTGAGAAGAAGGGCGAAGGAGGAAGAACAACAGAGGGCATGGAAATGGCGGTTGTCCTAGGAGAGAGTTAGGCGTTTAGAAGCGGCAGAGAAAGCAGAAAGGGACTTAAAGGCGGTAGAGGTCAGGATGGGGAAGATCAGGGCTGAGACCGAGCTAGCTACCAAAGTTGAGACCCTGACCCAGAGTATAGAATCCTTACTAATTGCACATCGTGAGCAGATGCAGTACCTACGAAGTCAAGATATAAAGTTAGAAGCGATACGCGCTCGATTTAAAGATTTTGCACGCGACGTGATGAAGTACTTGGTGGACCAGGTCCACCTAGCGATTAGTAAGACAAAGGAATTCTGCACTGGCGCCATTGAAGGCGCCAAGTTAGTGGCTGTCAAGGAAGAGGAGTCGACTCCACCACATTGCGAGAAAGTTGAAGTCCGTTTCCCCGAACGCTTCAGTGGGAAAAAGTGGGAGGATTTCGATAACTGGGAGGCCAACTTGCACTTGCAAGGAGTCGCTCCTGAGGATCACGTTCTAGTGGCCTTCCAGGCCCTTCGATATGAAGCGACCAGCTTTGCTAGGTCACTTGCCCGCGCTGCAAATTGCGACAACGATATGGTCACCTATTCTAGACTAACGCCCCTCTTTGAGCTCCTGAAATCACTCAGGGAGAGATTTTCTGATGTGATACGAGGGCTTAAGGCCTCTGACAAGCTTCAAATGATACACACCCGCCAATGGAAAAGTGTTCACGCCCTCAAGTACGCGATGGATGAATTGATTGTTGTTCCTGAGCATGGAGTGACTGATGCCCAACTGGTTAACCTCTTCTATCGTGCCCGTTTGAAAATATTCAGGGGCATTTCTTCGAGAAGAAGAATCAGCAGGGCATGACTTACAATGTTCTTAGCAGGGAGGCGGTCTCATTTGCCGTCCAAGCGTCGCCAGTTACCACGTTTTGGCACAAGGATTTGTCCAAAGGAAAACCGTGGAAGGGGCGCACCATCTCCGGCCAAATTAAGGCCAAAGATAGTTTGATACTAACAATGGAGGGAGGTGCTGCAGGCGAGGTTCCCTACTCTGACATTGAGTGGGGACTCCAGGAGGAGGACAGTAGCACAAGCCAGGGGAGAACTTACGCCGCTGTTGCAACTGGAGGGAGGCCAGGAGGACAAGGGTCCGACCGAAAAGGTATTGCATTCCTTGACCCTCCTCGTAGAAGAGAATCTCCCATTTGACATTGTCTTAGGCACAAATTGGGGAGAGGCAGCATGAGCCACACTACACCTTAGAGAGCACGAGTGTGCGTCAGGCGAAGTCAAGCAAGTCCGCCTGTACCATGAGTCTGGGGTAGATAACCCCCTTGCCCATTGCTGCCTCAGCGCTCTTGCATTCGCCAGACTTGTGTGAAAGGAGCAGCTCGAAGAGCAGGTGTTTGTAGCTATGTTAGGTCGATTTCTGACAAGCCAAGGGAAGAAGAGAAGATCCATCCTACCATCACCAGTTTGCTGAAAGAGTACAAGGATTTATCTGAAGCACCTTCAGGAGTAGTGCCCAGACCAATCCAACACTGTATAGAGATAGAACCTGGCAGTAGAACGCCTAAGGGGGCAATCTACAGGATGTCTCCCAAGGAGGTAGAGGAGCTTCGCAGGCAGTTAGACGAGCTCCTAGAGAAAGGATGGATAAGGCCTAGTTCATCACCTTCCGGCGCACCTGTTCTATTCGTCCCAAAGAAGGAGGGAGAGCTACACATGTGTGTAGACTACAGGGGAGTAAACGCCATCACAATCAAGAATGCAGAGTCGTTGCCTCGCATAGATGATCTGTTAGATCGAGTGCAGGGATGCAAAGATTTCTCAAAGATAGATCTGAAGTCAGGTTACCATCAGATAGAGGTCCACCATGACGATCAGTATAAGACGGCGTTCAGGACAAGGTATGGGCATTACGAGTTCATAGTGATGCCGTTTGGACTAACTAATGCACCGGCCACATTTCAGTGTTGCATGAACGACTTGTTTAGGCCGTGGCTAGATAGGTTCGTCGTAGTGTACTTAGACGACATCTTAGTGTTCAGCAAGACCCTCGAGGAGCATGAGGGTCATCTGAGTCAGATTCTAGGAAAGTTGAGAGAGCCTAACTTTAAGATTAACCTGAAGAAGTGTGAGTGGGCCAAGACAGAGGTCCTTTACCTAGGCCATGTACTAGATGGAGACGGTATTTCGCCCGAGGACAGTAAGATTGCATCAATCAGAGACTGGCCAACACCTAAGACGCTGACAGAGTTACGTTCGTTCCTAGGATTGCTACAAGAAGTTCGTAAGGAACTTCTCCACGATCGCTGCTCCCCTTCGTAGGTTACTAAAGAAAGAAACGGTTTGGATTTGGGACCAGGATTGCACGTTGGCATTCAAGAAATTGAAGAAGGCCTTAATAGAGTACCCTGTCCTCAAGGTTGTTGACCCGTCACTACCATTTGTTGTCACTACAGACGCTAGTCAGTATGGCATAGGTGCCGTTTTGCAGCAAGATGATGGCAACGGTTATAGACCCGTAGAGTTCATGTCAGCCAGGCTGCCCTCAGAAAAGGTAGCAGCATCGACATACGAGAGGGAACTCTGCGCTCTCAGGCAGGCTTTGGACCACTGGAAACACTACCTGCTTGGGAGGCACTTCAAGGTATATTCTGATCATGAGACTCTTAGATGGCTAAAGACACAGGACAAGATGACGCCCAAGTTGACGCCCAAGTTGACGAGATGGGCTGCTGAGATAGACCAAGTTGACTTTGAGTTAAAGCCCATAAAAGGAAAGTATAGCATGGTAGTCAATGCTCTGAGTAGGAGAGCTGATTACTTCGGCGCGATAGTGGACTATCCAGACATAGGGGCCAACCTGCAGCAGAAAGTAAGACTTGCCTATACAGGACTCGATCTACAGCGAGTTGCTGAAAATAGTAAAGGAGGCCCCAGATAGTGAACCTCACTATCGAACCACGAACGGGTTACTGTTTGAGAAGACCAATGTTGTTGATAGACTGTGTATCCCCAACAATGAAGAAATTCGTAGCCTGATTCTAGGGGAATGCCACGATACGGAAGGACACTTCGGATGGCAGAAGACCTTAGCTAACCTGATGATGTCATACATGTGGCCAGGAATGAAAGCAGACTGCATAGAGTATGTGCGCAACTGCAAGGTATGTCAGCGTAATAAGACTACAACGAGAGCCCCGCTAGGTCTTCTTAGACCCTTGCCTATTCCATCAGGACCCGACGAGTCAGTTTCCATCGATTTCATGGATACCGGGGTCAGAAGAAGGCACGACAAAACTCAAGTCATGGTCATCGTAGATTGATTTAGTAAGTATGCAGTTTTTGTTTCGCTATCGGTAGAAGCGCGGACAAATTTAGTAATAGGAAAGTTCTTTGATTTCTGGGTAAGCGAGCATGGCATACCGTTGTCCATAGTAAGTGATAGGGATACGCGGTTTACTAGCCGGAATTGGCAGGATCTTATGAAAGTCTATGGGTCTAAGTTGTTGATGTTGTCAGGACGACACCCAGAGACTAACGGCCAGACAGAGCATATGAATAAGATTTTGCAGCAGCTACTCAGAATATACATTAGACCAGATCAGGTAAATTGGGATGAGATGCTCCCCAAAGTAGCAAGCGCTTATAATAACAGTGTCCATCTAGCTACTTGTAGGACTCCTGATGAGTTACATAAGTCGTTGAGACCTAGGCGACCCTTTGAAGGATTAAACCAAGACCGGATACAGAGACTATCAACCGGCACCCGAGAGTTTGCGTTACACCACAAGCAAGAAGTCGCTAAGGTCATTGACAATCTTAGGAAAGCCCAGCACCGGATGATAGAGTAAGCTAACAAGCACCACCGACCTTCACAGTTTCAGGTAGGCGATCTAGTCTGGGTTAAGTCCTAGGAGTTCACACCAGAGGAAAACATCTCGCAGAAGCTCTTACCTGCGTATAGAGGACCATGGCCTGTCCTAGAAGTCAAAGGAGGAGAGGATGGCCTGTCATATACGATAGAGATTCCACAACACCTCCACACGTACCCAGTCTTCCATGCGTCCAAGTTGTTGCCTTGCACCACGTCCGATAGATTCCCTTCCAGGAGATCGATGATTCCACCAGACATGGATGGTGCATATGATATACATCGCATAGTGGAAGAGGACGTGCTCAGGACAGGAGGTCGAGGTCGTCCCCAAAAACAGTATAAGGTTAGGTTCGCATACCAGGAACCCGAGGATGACCGATGGTTTACCAGAACAGAGCTCTTAGAAACCGCTCCTGACATAGTCCATGCTTACGGGAGAGAAAGAAAGGGTAACAGTCCTTTCTTGAGTTAGAGTGTTCTCGGAGGACCTCAAATTTAGAACGGCGGGAGTGAAACGGTTTCACCCAGTTCACCCGACATTTGCAGACACAAAGATTCGATCCCTAGACCTGTTCTCGAGCCTTGTACATTGGCCCTTTGTGCTGAGTGAGATTGGATCCCTAGACCTACCCTGTACCCTATACATAGACCCAGTGATCTGTGTGGGACTCGATCTTGTGACCTGTCCTACCCCCTAGGCTAGTCAGTAGGTCGGATAAGACTCGATCCCTAGGTCTGTAGATTAGGAGTTAGGTCTAGTACCGTTAGGCGTAGGAAGGTTTGTTCTAGAAGTCGCTATCCCTAGAGTCTGTCTATAAGTCTGTAGGCTCTAGAAGGTTGTAGGTCCCTGTAGGCCAGTCCAGTCAGCAAGTACCAGGGGTAGGGGCTGCACGTGGGGAAGGTTCTGGACCACGCGGTGGGTTCCATGCGTTCTGGCCCAGAAGGCCAAATGACTGGAAGCTTCCCTAGGCCACACGTTTTGGCCCAGGCCCACACGTTTTGAGGCAGGCCCGGGTACCTCCGAAGAAGTATAAATAAAGAGGCAGCGTCAAGCCATTCATTCATTCGCGTGGGAGCCATGCGGAAGACCTGCCTTGGTATCTTGTGCGTGGAGTTCTGCAGGTGCCCGGAGAGGAAGTGGGCTGAAAGGAAGACAGCGGCCATAGCTGGCCAGTGAGGAAGACACCGGCGGCCATAGCTAGGAGGAGGAAGACGATGGTGGCCATAGTCGCCCAGCTGTTGGTGCAGACAGAGTGTACAGAGTGTGTGTGTCTGTGTAGCATGGACATTCAGGGTGATCCTCATACGTGTGCAAGGAATATGAGTGTGAACGACATACAGAAAACTAAGTTGCGAAATCACCCAGATGTACAGGTAGTCGCGTCCAAGCAGAGAGTACAAAATGCACCAAGAAACCATCCATATAGAGCAATACAATGAGGTAATGAGCCAATGTTCAAGCCCGTAGGACACACCAACACAGTATCCAAAGTCGCTCCTCTCTGTCTGGTGCCCAGCGCCCAGCCTACTCTACGCGACTATCCTACCTGCAGCTGGTTCACGCAACTGGCTCACTTCAACTCTTGAAGATTGATGTACATGACTATCGACACAATGGCCGACCTCTCTTCATGCATCAGGTACGTATCTCGTCTGCCTCAATCAGACCTTGATTACCCACACTCGCCTCCTTCCCTGAAGACCACTTGATCGCCCTCCTACCCCCTAGCGCCCACCAGCCTGGCTATGGCTGCCTGCGCCCTGCTGCCCAGCGGCGCCCCACCTCACCACTACGCGCCCCGTCAACGCCTTTGGCAGCAGCGCAGCATCAGGCGATAGCGCAGCATCAGGCGATAGCGCAGCATCAACCGATAGAACAACATCAAGCGATAGTGCAGCAACACTTCCGCATTGCCTACACTGACCAGAATGCCTGGCCTAGGCTACCTCACTTCTTTTATCGAAGTGGCAGCCTCCTGAATGTTGTGTGTGGCCTGGCTGGAAACTTCTAGTAGCTTCCGGTTGGGCCTCAGACCCTGCGCCCAGGCCTGAGACTACAGTTGAGGGCCTGGGCCCTTTTCAGTTGGGCACGGCCTGAGTCTCCGGACTTGGGCAGCTAGGTAGGTGCATCGGCAGTACTGCTTTTCGAAAGGCCGATGGCCTGCCTCCCGATGTATCGGCCCTGTTTTGTGTGTATGTGCCCAGGCACAACTGTCAAGGCCTGGGCCAATTGTATGACGCAACTTAGTGAGGCTCACGAGTCTACCCAACCAACTGGCGTGATGCGAGAGCCTGGATACCCACATATGGAAATGTCGAATTTTGGCCTTTGAAGAATATTCAGGCCCGCCTGCACTTAGGACGGGCATGCAGCTTGCTGGGGCCTTAGCCCAGAACATATGATGTCAGATAGGGCCCCTTTAGGACTCATTCCTCACATTCCATCCCCCTTAGCTTCGAAAGTCCGCTGAGATGCTTCATGTTGGTGCCTTCCCCTTCAGTTTCTTCTCATAATCTGCCACAATCTGAGGAGCTGTCTTGACAAGTTCCTCCCTTGAAATCCATCGATCTTCCTTAGGATCAGTATGATGCCTGAAATGTGCTCTGTATTCCCTTGCAGGTTTGGGAGGTCTTCCCCTGCCGGGTGGCTTGGGAACAGGCGTGTCTCTGTGATCCAGGATGTCGTCAACGTCCACGTGGCCATCCATGGTTGGGGGCAACATAGATGTCCGTGATGGGAACTGTGCTGTCTCAGCGAAAGGTGCAAGCTTGGAGGCGTGAAAAACAGGGTAAGTGCGTAGGTGACCAGGGATACGAATGATGTATGAGGGACCATCCAAATCATTCCCCACAATATCCAAGACTTCCCAGGGACCGAAATATTGAGGCCGTCGTTTCCTAGAGATGCCAAACTCCTGTCCCAACTCACTAGCCTTGACCCAGACATGTTCCCCTACCTGAAATGTGGACTGTTGGCGTTTCTTATTCTCGGAAGCAATCATGGCTTCCTGAGATTTCTTGATGTGTTCGACAGTCTGCTGCAACAATTTCTCGTACTGGACACCAAATTCAATGGTTCTAGGAGTTGCAGCAGTTCGGTTTTCAGGCAGGAGGAAGTCTAGAGCAGATCTAGGTTTCCATCCCAGATATAGTTGATTAGGACTGACACCGGTGGTGCTGTGAACGACATTGTTGTACAGACTGGCGATGAGAGGTAGTTTCTCATCCCAATCATCCTGGTTGGGCTTGATGTAATGCCTCAGCAGATGCTGCACCACTCAGTTCATCTGTTCAGCCTGCCCATTGGCTTCGGGATGATTCCCAGAAGTCATCTGAAGTTGGCTGCCCATCTGTTCAGCGGCCTTCTTCCACATCTCACTGGTAAACCAGACATCTCTATCACTAACAATGGTCTTTGGCAGTCCAAAGCCACGCACCCAGTTGTCCATGAACAACTTAATGACGTGCTCAGTCCTGGCAGTCTCTGGCATAGCAATTAGTCTAGCGTATTTAGTAAACCTATCCACTATGACGAAGATGTGCCTCTTGCCATTCTTGCTGGTCACCAGAGTATCCATGAAGTCCATGGAGATGCTCTGCCCTGGGCCAGCATGAATGGGTAGAGGCTTGAGCAACCCAAGCGGAGCTTGAGTCCACGGCTTGTCCCGCTGACAGACCTGACAGGTTTGTACGTACTTCTTTGCATCGTCTAGCATGTTAGGCCACCAGAATCGCTGTACTAAATTAGCACTAGTATTTTTGTAGCCGAAATGTCTCATTGCATTGTGACACTCGCCTAAAAATAAACTACGCAAAATCTCTCTAGATGGAACAACTAACCTTTTAAACCCTGTCTTTTCAAGAAAGAGTAACCCATCCATGATCACTAACTTGTCAGAAGTGGCCTTGTCTTTGGCCTGTAGTTTGTTGATGATGTCCATCGTGACGGGATCTTCCTTGCAGGCTTCCCCCAAGGATCGAGTCACGTCCTCAGATAA